TATTTGAGTCTCAGCTTTAGATTGGACCAGAGTTTGTTGAGTGCTGAAGTTTCCCATTTTTAAAAAATACTGAGTCTTTTGAAAGATTAGCTGCTTAATGCGGCTTGAGATATACAGTGGTATTAGATACAACCTCGATTAACAGACAGTATTTGATCACTAATGCGCATTAGTGTAAAACTGATTGGGATATCTCCTATTTTCATCCTGGAGGTCTGGACAACTTGGCCATGGGCCCAATTCCTCTTTTTTAAAAAAATGTTAAAAATGAAATAAACAGTATAAATCACTGAAGTGTCTTCATTATATCCCTTTGCCATTGACATGGCAGTATTTTACTGAATGTATGCTTTGCAAGGAACAGATTTGCCTGCTTAGGATTCATACATTTTAAAAGGAATGTAGGTCTCCAAGGTTGCACAGGGTCATTGAAAATCTTGGCGCAGCCCTTCCCTCCAAAGGTTGACCTGCAATTTTTAATATGACAGAAGATAATGATAAATAGCATCACGGGAGTAGAGTCATATGAACAGCTAGTCTGATGTAGTGGTGGAGGAGCTGACTAGGAACGGGGAGACCCAGGTTGGCATCTATCTCCAGCCATGAAAACGCATTGAGGACTTTGGGCCAGTTATCCTCCCTCACCCGGGCCTCCCTCACAGGGTTGCTAATGAGCAGGCAAATCATTATAAATAGCTACATCTATTGAGTATATTATTACGTCCATTTTAATTCCAGTGAAATGAAATAAAAATGAGTTTTTATCCTGGCCCCACTTTTTTGGGGGGGGAGTGTGACCCCGACCCACTCAGGCTAGAAGGTTCTGTAGGCACCAGATTAATCAATTGGGGAGCTGTTGAGAGATGGCAGTCTTGTTAAGAAGAACAGACTTGTTCCAGGTTCCCTTTGCTTATCTAAAGCAGCAAGAGTTTCCCACAAACCTCAGCACGAACAAGACTGCAAGGTGCATATAGACATGTAAGTAAAAAAAAAAAATCTTAAGCACACTGCACCAGCCTACTATATGTGTGCTTGACATATGTGCACGTGTGTAAGTGCATGATAATACATTTAAATGAATAAATAAGTGAATTATTATTTTATGGTAACATCTGAGGAAGATCAAACTTCTAAGGAAGGCTTGTCTTGTGTATCAGGGCAGGCCCACTGCCTGGCTGAAATGAACTGGGACATCGGCAGGATACTTGGAGTAGCCTTCAGAAGTGGTTATATTGGTATAGGTGGCACAGGGACTGCTAATATTGTTTGCGAAAAAAAGCTCCTGGATTATTGTGACACAAGCACTGGTTGCTCAAAGTCTCTTTCATCATCTGCAGGAAGTCCACTAAGAAACTGGTAGGTTGTGGGATCCTGCCCAAAAACAGTCGACAAGGAGAGGAATTGACATAGCAGGAATGCAAAAGCTGTACACTGCCTTTTTTTTTTAAGTACTTTAATTTTGTATTTTTGCATTTCTGTTAATCTTTTGATTCTAAAAGGCATCTTTACCTTTCACGAACAGTGTCGGTCTCTGAGTTTTGTAATACCATGCCAAAGCATTTTAGCAGGTAGAGTAGGAAGTCTATTGATCATCAAAACAAACAAGAGTTTTTCAGAACTTTCATTCATTCTTTTGAAGTGTGCATGAAAGAACCTTTTAAGGGATTGCCAAGTTATTCAAGCTTATTTCTCTTCTCTTCTTGAGTAATCACTCTGTTGAAAGGGGATTTGCAACAGACATCAGTACAATTTTCCATAATGATGAGAAGTCTTTACAAAACGAACACAGAATTAAAGATGAACAAAATACAATTGTGTAGCCAAACAGCCATTTATTGTACTGAAATAAAAAATGTTATGGTGGAACTGAGTGTTAGCAACTCACAATTGTTCCTACCTTTTAAGGATGAATTCAGATGGTGTGAGCTACACAGACCAGGAGCAAAACAGGATGCTTGAGAAACAAGAGTAAGGCTTTGACATGTTCAGGGAAATGTTGAGATTGACTGAAATACAATAAAAATCTTTTTCTAGAAATATAGTCTCACAGGTTCCAAAATAAGCAAAGCTTTCCCCAAACTACCTCTCTGTTGTGCATACTCTGTAGTCACAGTAAGTTGAATGTTTGCTATAAAAGAAGAATAAATATGAAGGGAGAGGCAGTCTTCCTTTACAGCTGATAGAGGAATGGGCAACTCCAGCTATTCATGTGCAGCTCCCCCCCAAAGCTGCTGGTGTGGCAAGCATGTCTCGTAGTGCCCACCTCAATGTAGCTGAAGATGGCTGGGTTCCTGCTTCTCATTGGGAAGAAGTTTGAAGCTTCATTATGGCTTCTCCATTTCTCCCAGTGTGAGATGCATTATCTCCATTGGACATTGCCTGATCTTGGAAGCTAAGCATGGTTGGTCTCGGTTACCATCTGGAAAAGCCAGAGCTGTAGGCTAACTTGAGAAGATGAAAAAACATCCTGGAAGAAAGAAAAAGGTATGGAGTTGAGCTCCAAGGTATCTTCCCCTTTACTAGAGTGGGGAATGGGGTGGGGAGGGAGAAGGATAGACACTTCTATTTTGCAGAGCCTTATATTGCTTTCATAACCTTTTTTTTCCTCTCAGGAATAACTGGGAATTATAGTTCTGTGGGAAAAAACCTAGGAAGTCTCTAGCAACATCATACAAAGTGCAGTAAGAAAAAGAAAGCCAAAGAAATTAAAGGTGTGAGAAAAGAAAAGAAAGCATAGCTAAATCTAGCTTATACCAATGCTATTTGCTCTACCTTTCCATTATTTTTTGTTCTTACAAATCATCCTTGCTTCCATGATATCCATCCACCACCTCATCCATTGCCTTTTGTTCTTTAAACTTTTCATCTTTCTTTTTGAGGCTCTTATCAGCTCCATCCATCCATGGCTTCCTTGGTGTTCCTCTTCCTCTTGACCCGTTCACTCTTATTTCATAGATTGGTTTTGCAATAGGATTCCCATGTATTCTCTCTATATGACCATACCACTTTCTCCAGTTGTTTCTGCTTGTCCCACTAGATCTTGCAAGTTGGGCATACTCCAGGTCCCAACTATTAAACAGTGCCATCTGGCGGGACCCAGGAAGCATGCCTTCTCTTTTCCAGGTCCTGCCTTGTGGAACATCATACCCCCTGATATTTGCTTGGCACTGACCCCGCTGGCATTTCATAAATCCTTGAAGAACTGGTTGTTCCTTCAACTGTGAGGTCTGGAGTTTGGGTGAGCCCATCGATATAATGTTTCTTACTATGATTATTGTTGTATAGATTGGGTCAGATTGTTCTTGGGTGCCATTATGATGATGTTGTACTGTTGTTATCATTACTTTCTTACGTTGTTTCTGTTGTTTTGTGATTCTGTGTTCACCACTCAAAGTTGCAATTGTGAGATAGGCAGCTATATAATTGATATTATAATAAAGAATAAATAATAATGTAGTCCTTTCAAACTAGTCACACACTTTTGGATTCAATCCACATTTATTCAGCAACAATTTATTTGAACCCTCTCTCTCATGCTTTATCACATGCACTTCTTAAATATCACATTCCTATTGGATTCGACATGGTTTTCTTGACAAATTCAACCCTCATATAGCAAAATGAACAGAAGCACACAGCAATTTTTGCATCTTTCAATAAGCATCATTTTTACAATAGACCATATGTTAACCACTACCTTTCTGCCAACATTTACACATCATAAAAATTATCTATCCATTTCCCCACTTTCGTAAACTACTTTTTACTAAAGTAGTCACCTACTAGTTTTTCATCATATCTATCAATCTGCCTGTCTGTCTGTCTCCATCGTCCCTGTCAAACACAACCGTCTTCCTCTTTGGTGCATTAATTTTCAAATCCATACTCCTTTTTTAAATTATATTTTCATTAAACATTTTTGAGAAAGGCAAAGGCAAACAAGGAAAGAGAAAAAAAGAGGCAAAAAATAAAAATAAAACACCAAGCAAAGGGATAGGGAAATGACAACCATGATAGAATTAGACTGGACTAAATTTTTTAGGTTAGACTTCACTATTTCATTAGTTAATTGTACATGCAGAATATCTTATACCATTATAAAAACTGCAAGTCATTATTAAAATATAAGTAATATATAAATACCAACAGCAGTAGTCAGCACAGTATAAATCATAGAGTAAAATGAAGAATTACAATAATTTCTTTCTGAACAGTGAAAGATCCATCCAGATTCATGCAACTCATTACATCATACAATCTAACATTCAGTGCAGATTATTCAGAGTCTCAGCCAGTACCTCCGCTACACCTCTTAACCCTGCAAGAATTCCTTAAACTACATTTATCCATCGATACGTTAAATGACCAAGTGAAGATCAGACATGCACCAGTATGACCAGTGAAGTACATACACACACACAAATAATAAATAAAATCTTGGGTCGGTCTTGACTCCTGGCGTCTGCCTAGATAAGTCCATGCAGTTTTCTTGGCAACATTTTTGGTCATAGTTTGCCCTTGCCTTCTTCTTCTTCCCAGGGCTGAGAGAGAGGGACTGGCCCAAGGTCACCCAGCTGGCTTTCATGCCTAAGGTGGGACTAGAGCTCACCATCTCCCAGTTTCTAGCCTGGTGCCTTCACCACTACACCAAATTGGTTCTCACAGCCAGTTATTAAGCATTTATTCTCATGCAGCCGTTACTTCCATCGTCTACTGTTCTTTACTGGATTGAGCTACTGACCTTCAGTTCAATAATCATTTAGAACTTTCCATACTGGCCAAAGTGGACCCAAACTGTCCAGTACTGCCCTTCCCATGAGCAAGGAATGCTGCATGTGGCAAGACTACAGTACAAATAGGGCTGGTAAGCCTACTGTACACCATTGCTGAATTACTAAAAAGCATCATATGAAAATGATCAAACTACAGTTTCTAAGGCTTTGGGGGAAGATCCATGAGAGTTAGTGTCTTTGTCTTTTCTGTTTTTTTAAAAAGCTATCTAGATGTGCATCAATTTGAGTGGGCCATGGGCCCACTTCTTAGCTTCTGTGATTGGGTTTGAAGTAAAAATCTTTCCTTTATCTTTCCCCCACTAGGTTGCACCTTCTCTGAAGGCAACCTGAATGGAGAATCATCACCCATGGCTCATCAGGTAGAACTGGGTACTTCCTTCTTCAGAATTGTTTCTGTACCTATGGCAACAAGGAGAACAATAACATTTGTCTGCTGGCTGGACCTTCCAGTTCCACAATGAGGATGTATCGCCAGGAAGACACTGATGTTTAGCCAACACTGGTGGGATTAGAACTGGATGGTGTTGATTTGAAATATTCTTACCAAGTACTTTCCATGGATCAAGACATTGGCATTGAGGCCCTGCTGGACTTCAGCTTCCTGACCGAGGAGGAGCAGAATGCAATTGTGGAAGTTTTGCAGAGAGACTTGCAGCTCCAGATGTCCGAGGAGGGGCGGATCAAGTGAGAACCTGCTCTGTGGTTGTTGTTCCAATAGGCTGAATAACACTGGAAGCTTGCTTAAAGTGGCCAGATTAGGATTATGTCTTTTTCTGATGGGGCTTCTCACCAAGATGTTTTTCATGGTTTCATTCATTGAAGCCATAGATAGGCGATCCATGGTCATCAGGCCACATGTGGGACCTGGCACGCCTTTTGTATTGGCCAAGCCATTCTGGAGTGGGCAGGGCAACATCTGGGTGGGACATCTTCCTGCCCACACACAAATGGAGCAGCTCAGGAGGGTGTCCAAGACATTATTCTCCCTTTCATTTTTGTCTTGCCATACCCCACCCTGGGGATTAGCAAGTAAGTCAGAGCCATTGCTGCTTAGACTTGGGCTGCTTTGGCGTCCATCCGCAATAATTTTTTTTTTTTAAGCTTTTACAGGCATTGGCATCTCTTACAAATCATGATGATGTCATGTACAGCATAATTTATTGATTTGATTTGATTCAAGTTATATGACCACCCATCTCACCAAGGGTGCTCTGGGCAGTGAACAGTTAAAAACATCAATATAAGAATAAAAAGATACATATACAGTACATTCTCTCTCTCTCTCTCTCTCTCTCTCTCTCTCTCACACACACACACACACACACACACACACAAACAAAAGACAGAAAAATGGAAATTGAGGATATACCCATCAACAGTAGACTAATAATACCTCACAGGTTCAACTAATCTCCCGACCCCTATGCCTGGGTGAAGAGCCAAGTCTTAAAAGACCAGCAGGGACGGGGCATAATGACAGTATGCAAAAAGATCCAAATGATAAAATTGCGGCAATATCACCAGAAATTGCATGTTTTGCACCACAACATCTAACGTCCCTTGTCCTCCCTTGCTACCTCATGAATGCAGATGTGTACGGGGATCCTTAACCAACCTTGAGGCTCCTCCTGGTTGATAATGCCTCCTTACAAAGCAATAATGCAGGTTTGGTTGTGTAACAATCTGCACAGAGTATTAAGTATGCTATTAGTATGTATTTGAGTTGGGAGGAGGTATATCCCTCCTAGATTATGTTAGCTGAAGACTTTCAGCTTCTCAACCTTGGTCATGCCAGCTGTGATTTATGTGAGTCTGACAGACAACACATTTTCTCCCTGGCATATGGATTACTGACTAGTCCAGTGTTTCTCAACCTTGGCAACTTCAAGATATATGGACTTCAACTCCCAGAATTCCCCAGCTAGCCAGGAATTCTGGGAGTTGAAGTCCACACATCTTGAAGTTGCCAAGGTAGAGAAACACTGGACTAGTCTTATGCCTACTCAGAAAGTAGTCACCTTGAGTTCAGTTGGATTTACTTCCAGGTAACCAAACATAAGGTTGCATTTAGCTACCATGGTTTCAGCTTTTCAGAGAGGCATTGGAATCTCCTTTTCCCAGTTCCTTGTTGGGTTGAATTAGTAGTTTTAACTGTTTTGATTCACTTTTAACTATCTGTGTTTTGTTAGCTGCCTTGAAAGCTTTATGGGCAAAACAGTTGGATTCCAAATAGATGATAATGAGGAGGAAGAGGAAGAGGAGCTTCTGGCACAGGGAAGCTTTCCAACTTGTCTGTTTCTCTTTCCCTCTTTCTACTGCCTCAAGCCAACTGCGCAAGTCTATCTCTGACCCAAACTGGCTGAAGCTCTTGTCCGGCGAATGGTTTCGTGATGTCCGTTCCAAACGGCACCAGCGCAATCTCTTCGGGGCAGACATTGTCCGAGCTTCGATCCGGCGGAGAAAGAAGCCCAAAGGTAAGAGGAGAATACAGTACTTGGCTTGACTGTTCTCTATTCCTTAGGTTCCAAGACTAAGGAAAAAGAAACAAGAGAATCAATCTTTTGGGAGCTAACTAACTTACGAAGATGCTCCTCAAATCATCACAGAATCCTAGGATTGGAAGAACCTTGGTGGTCTTCTAGTCTAACCCCCTGCCCAGTGCAGGGATCCTCATCCCATTCTGGACAAAAGGCTGTCCCATCTTTTTTTGAAGTCCTCCAGTGATGGAGCACCCACCGCTCCTGGAGGCAGGCCGTTCCGTTGCTTAACAGCTCTCACAGTCTTTTAATCTAGCTTTTAATGTAGCTTTTAGATGGGAGGATTGTCTCAGATTGCTCAGAATGTCATGAGGATGGTGGATTTTTTTTTTCTGTCTGATCTCCCTTTTTTGAGGTGGTGGGGAGAATTGTCTTCAGTTCAGGGTTCTCATCCTTTTGGATTCATGTAGTACTGTTCCTGAAAAGAAAGGTACCTTTAGTTAATGTTGACTTTGTGATGATGCATAATGCCAGGCAGTAAAAGAGTTACTACTTTCACCCTATCAAAGCACATGAACAGGAATTCAAACAACAAAGCAGCCTGGAGAATATAGATGTGATCCATGAACCTGTGCCAGAGGATGAGAACACGATGGAGGCTCTGGATGTGCCAGAGGATGAGAACACGATGGAGGCTCTGGGTGTGCCAGAGGATGAGAAGACAACAGAGGCTATGGATGTGTAAGCAGCTTTCATATTCAGGTGGAAGGAAGGTCTGTCTTTGCTCTGAAAATGCAAGCTTCTCCAAAAGTGTTCCAAACAGCTAAAATTTCATTCTTAGAGCAGAAAACAGTCCCTAAATGATCAAGGAAGAAGAGTTATTTGAGAAAGCTGTAGACATTTTTCTAAGGGTGATGACATAACAAGGTCTTGCAACAGAAGCTCCAGCAAAGAGTTAGAGCTAGGAAATGTGCCTAAAATGTGCCTTGCAAACAAGTTTGGTTCAGCAAAAAGAAATGTCAATCCAGGCATTGTAATCCAATCCCTGGATTGAACACGTGGTTTGAAGAATTTCAGGACAAGGTATTTCTTCTGAGCCCAACTCAGGAATTAGAGCTGCTAGAATTGGAGCTTGATCTAGATCCTTTCACAAGTAAATCTGTTCCTTTCTTTGATTTAACTAGATAGAATTATTTCTGCTACTGTTAAACTTTTGGGTATCAGAAATCTTGCTGATCATCTGTGTATCACCTGGGGCTCTGCTTTCCCCCATTCGTAATCCAGCGTTTTTGAGAAAATCCAAAAGTACAACATTCCCAGGACAGAGTAGTTCAACCTCTTCTCGAAGGCCTCTACTGAGAGGAAAGTCCCTGAATCCCTTATATTGGAGAGGGGATCCTGTGTCCTCCAGATGAAGTACAGCTCTCAGGAGCTCCCACTGGCATGGTCAATAATGAGGGAAGCTGGGAAAGTTAGTTTAGCATCACCTGCAGAGCCATGTGATCTCCACTCCACTCTTAACTGCTTTTATCATCTACACTTTTCAGTTGAAATTTACCCTTATCTGGGGCAGTAGAAGACAGGTTGCCCTCTGGAAGGAGCTCTCTTATGAGCAGCTTCTGGAAGGCAGTCCAGGTGGAACCCAACCAGATGTCTCCTGGGGACTGAACCAGCAAGCTTGCTATGAAATTATAATTATAATCACATCTCCATTTCCTCATAGGCTGCTCCCTGAGACCATCATGCCTCAGTCACCCCAGCTAACAGAGACTCTGGTAAGTGGTTTATTGTGGCTAAGGAATCCATCATCCAGAGTAGATGGTGGTTGTGAACATTTGTGCCAGTTGTAGATGACAGTGATACCAAAGAGGTGGAACAGTAGAGTCCAGATGCTGGAGCTGAAGAAGGGCCAGGTCAGCTGCCAACATACTCATTTCTAGTGCTATCCCTGCCAATATCGCACTGGGAGCAGAAAGGGCATAGCTGAGTATCACTCCTAAAATGGAGGAACATTAATTTGGCTCCGGAAACCAAAATGGGCAACCTCTAGATGCTTCTGAACTTCCAGTTCCTTCTTAGCCATCCAATAATGAAGGATGCTGAGAGCTGCCGTGTGGCAACATCTGGAAGGCCACCATTTGCCAAATTTGCCCTTTGGTGTTAAAAGTGCCCCCTTTGAAAATCTCGATTCTTCATTTTGAGAGCAAGAACCTTCCCAAACTACAGGGTGACATTTGTGCAAATAACATTTGTAAAATCCAAAGTAGAAGATTTTAATGTTAGAAATCTCCAAATAGCCCTGGAGACTTGTGGATCCAGAGTATTTTGCTGTTGTTAACTCCAGGCTGCTTTGACAAATGGCTTGGGCTGTGTAGCTCTGGATGCAGTTATGGTCACTGATGCAGTTTGCTTATGGTGAGAAGGATCTGAAGATACGTTTGGGCTCCGATCACCTACATCCAGGTCACGTCTCTCTCTCTCTCTTTTAGGAGGTCGATTTGACGTCCAAGGATGCAGTCTGTTCCCAAGAGTTGATAGTTGAAAACATTCTAGGTAAAAACACCTAAGAAATGTGCATCTGTGCCAGGATGTGAAGCCTGGGGCAGCTACAAGACATGGTGTGAAATGTATTCAATGGTGTTAGTGTGCGGGTATTTCTTTTTAGTGTAATTAACCACGTAGGTTCCCTCTATGTAACCCTAGAGCAATGTTTGTCAACTTTAAGATGGGTGGACTTCAACTCCCAGAATTCCCCAGCCAG